TACAACACAACACAATACAATACAATACAAAAATAACAATATAAAATTAAAATTAATAATATAAAATAAATAAAAAATATAAACGATATAAAAGAAGTTAGAAAAGTTATAAAAGAAAAGAAGTCGCCCTGGCCATGATACCCCTCTAGAAGTACCTCAAGGGCTGCCACAAAGAGGAAGGCTGAGATCTCTTCTCGCCGATTCCAGAGTGTAGGGCACGAAATAATCAACTCAAGCTGCAAAGTCTTGCTCCAGGGTGGAAGAGGAAGAAACAGAGGCCTACAAACTCCCACCAGAAAGCAAGAGTCCCTCAGCACCACACATGCAGTTAGAGTGGCTGCTTTGCGTCGCCTCTGGCGTTCGTGTTAAAACGGGTGCTTGATAGTGTATAAAAAGTGCTTAAACCGAAGCACCTAAGCCCAGGTTGCTTTTGCATTCTGGACCAAGCTGATCGGTCTCGAGCATTTCTCATTAGGGCTTCGTGGTCTCTCTGGGGATGAGGTGCCCCATAACTGCGGCACAGCTGCAGAAGACTGCTGCATGCTTTTGTAGCGCATACTTGGATAGAGGATGTGGTGGGAAGGCATCTTTAAGCAAGAGCGGCGAGATCTGTGCTCCGGGCTTTACGTACGATTAGGCAATGGCAAGCAGGCCGAGCGGCTTGTCACGTCGGAGTGTGTCCCAACACATGTCTGGAGGGCCCCAGGTGGGGAAAGTCTGCTTTGCACTGCAGGGACCGGGGCACGTGAACGGGAAGTGGTCCCTGTAGACAAGGGCTTGGCTGAAACTCGGCAGAAGCCACCCCTCTGGCCTTCCTGCTTGCCCAGCCCGGTTCTTAGAAGCGAGCCGAGCTGAGAGGAAGTCCAGAAACGCTTGCAGAACAAAGGTGGTGCAACCAGCAGCCACTTTCCCCTTCACATGCCACAGCGCAGAGGCCACTGTAGGTGGTGCGGAAGAGGGAAGCTGTTGCGCAGCATGTGGGCCTCAATTCCTGACGGGAATCTCCTGGTCACCAGGCACATTTGCCAGGAACTCTGTCTCGGGCTGTGACAAGGCCGACCGAAGGCCAGAGAACCAAGCTTAGGGAACATCAGGAGGCGAAGTACCCGGAGGAGGGCCTTCTCTGCGGTGGCGCCCCATCTGTGGAATGTGCTCCCCAGGGAGGTCCGCCTGGCACTGCCATTATTTGTTTTTTGGCGCCAGGCTAAGATCTTTTTATTTAAAAAATATTTTAACAACGTTTAATACCTATAGGTTTTAATTGTGCAGCCAGGGTGTTTCCGGATTTTCCTGATTTTAATTGTATTTTGTATTATGTTTGTTTATTTATGCGAGCCGTCCCGAGGCTATATGCGATGGGACCGCATACAAAAACGCTAAATAAATAAATAAATAAATAATAAATAAATAAATAAATAAATAAATAGGGAATCCAGCGGATTCCCGCCCCCAAAACAGATTCTTCACACACCCCTGCCTCAGCGCCAGCTCATGCAAAGTGCCGTGCTCACTGGGGCTTGCATAACCCCCAGTGAGGCACCGCGTGTGTTGGGCGGCATTTTGAATGTGTAGCCCCCAATCAGGCAGTTGTGGGATGTGCACCTAGCTGCTGCGGGCAGTGTGGGGGTTAAACAGCCCCCTCATAACCCGTGGTCTGTAGGGTTGTGCAAGGGCTGCTTCACTCTCCAGCGACCCACAATGACTGGGGTTACGTGGCACAGCAGCTCCCCCCATTCACCCGGTTGGAACTTGCATAGTGACAGTGCTCCGTGACATGTGGCTCGTCATGGGTCGAGCGCCCCGTGATGAGCCCTGTGTGTTGCGCAGGCAAAGCTTTTCAGTCCTGCTTGGGCTGCCTGAGCCTTTCCAAAGGAGCCCCTGAAACGGCATGTGGTCCTTAGATGCATCTCCTCCCTCCACAGGCTGCGGCCAGCTCTTAGCGTCTGGACCAGGCTCAATGTCCGACCAGATGATCAGCATAAGCCAGCCGCAGGGGGAAGCACAGCCATCCGTCACAACCCTCCTTTCGCAGCAGATGTCAGAGAGCCCTCGGCTGTCTTCTCCCATGAGCACCAATCAGAATATGAAAAAGATGGACGACCTGCTGGTGTCGCTACAGAATCAGGGGAACAATAACATGGCGGGCTCCTTCTAGCTGGCCAGGTGAGCTGGATGTTGGGGCCCCGCCCCTGCTCGCCAGCCAGGCCCCGGGGCCCCTCTCTTCCCGTTCGGGCAGGTCACGGAGCGCATAGAAGCCTCCGTGTTGCTCGTGCCTGTCTTGGGAGCTGATGAGAGTTCCGGGCAGATGCTTCATCAGTTCTTACCTGTTGGCGAGCAACGCATGTGTGGTGGGGCCTTTTGAGCGGTGTTGCTGAAGCCGCTGTGCTGCTGCTCAGAAATCACTGGGGCTTCTGGGCCTTGCAACCCGCCTTGAGTTGAAAAGAGCAGCTCTGAAGCGTCGCCCAGGGCAAGCCACTTCCTGGGCAGGGCAGCGTTGGGCGGCGTACTCAGGCTGGGGGGAAGACAGGGTCTAACTGCATACATCCTTATATATGAATTTATACTGTACTTTCTGGCCAGAATAAATTGTGAAAAGCGAGCAGATGTGAAAGCAGGTTATCTGCCATGTTTGCTCTGTTACGTGGCTGCTGCTAGCCTGGAGCGACTGGCAAGCTCTCCTCAGAAGTTCTCAGGAGCTGACTGGGCGTATCTAAGGGGGAACAGCTCCACCTCTCTCCGAGTTTTGTTCCTCCTCAGCCAAACCTGGAGCGTGGCTTATGAGGCAGGAGCCAGCCTGTGCAGTTCCTTTAGCAGCGGAACAAATGTTTGTATCAAGGTGCTCTGCTGAGGATCCTGCCGCCGGCTGGATTCTGCCCCAGCCCCAGATCCCAGGCCAGGCGTGAGGACGGCCATCCGTAGAGCTTAGTAAAGTGCTTGTATCATGAGAGTAGCAGTGCGTGGATTGCAGCGACAAGGCTCTGCTGAGCCAGGAATGGTGCGGTGCCCCCCCCCCCCCCGGCTGAACCTGCATTCGGTCTTCCCACTCGAAGTCCCTTCAGGGACCTGACAGCACAAAGTCCTTGTCAGCTTCGGCGCAGAGGGAGCGACCCGGTCGTTGGCTGTGGCTGAGCTGGAGGGCTTAAGCAAGGCTGGGAGTCTCTCCGTTACACTTAACTTGGGCTTTTTGTTTTCTCTCCTTTTGTTTGTGACATCAGAATTCTAAACAGAATTGCCTGTGATGGACAAGCAATTTTTCAAGATTCCTTTAGCTCTTGTGACTCTAGATTGGAGGGTGTTTGAAGATAAATTTCCTCGGTCAAACAACGACCTGAACACAAGAAAAGACACTGCCTTTGCCTACACCAAGCCTGGGAAACAGCCGCCGAGTGACAGCATCAGTGGAAGACCCCTTGGAGCGGAGCAGCAGAAGAGCTGTGCTTTGTCTTGGCCTGGCCTGGCCGTGACCCCCGTCTCACTATTCCTGCTGTTGGGGGGGGGCGGGGATGCTTGGTTATCGTTGCAGCCAGGCAAAAATAGAAAATGGAGCTGTCTCTTCTCCCCGCCAGCCCTCCTTTTTTCTTGGCCTTCACAGCCTTTAGCTGGGTTCCGAAACATACGGGAGTCTCTCGTGAAACAGTTTGGTCCATTGGTGTCCGATGTCATCCTTGAATCGCATCTGAATGCAGAGCCGGTTTCCACGTTGCTCGAAGTGGCGCGTGGGTTCCGTCTCTGGCGGCGAGCGCCGCGCTGCAGGCCGGTGCTCGGGGCCGCCGTTGCCGAGCGGTGGCTGTGCCATTGTGTGTTGGGCCCCGTGCCGAGCGGAAGTGGCTTTGGTGCAGAGTGGAGCAAACTGTGAACTCACACCTGGGTTGAGGGCGGCATGTACAGCTGGCGGGCAGAGCGTTGGCCACGGCTGTGCGGCACAGCCTGCGGGGGCTGCGCACAGCTGCTCAAGGAGGGGGCTTCCTCTGCCACACTCTTCCTTTCCGAAGGGGGTTCAGGAGCGGACGCCCTCCAGGTCCTGCCCGAATGCTGAGTCTCCCTCCCTTTCAGTCACCGTCTGTATTCTTCCACATGTAGAACCCTCAGCTTGCCTTCCGGAGGCAGAAGGCCTGTGGCTGGCTGCTGGAGGCACGGTGCAGCGTTGGTCCGGGAGTGTCCCAAAGCTTCCCAGCCCCTTTTCTAATCGGTGCCGGTGCAAAGTCTCACGTGCACGCCCTGATGGGAGCGGGGGGTGGGGGGCGGCAGCTCCCTGTGGGCCCCCGGAGCAGCTCCCGTGCAGCCCCTCGGTCCCTCCTCTGCTGGCCGCAGCCCTCTCGCCGGCCGGCGTGCCCGGCGTGCAGGAGGAAAGGCGGCATCCTCCCGCCCCAGCGCCAGGGAGAAGCGCTCGCCGCAGCCCCCCGCCCCGGGCTCGTTCCCCTCCGCGTGTCCAGCGCGGCGAGCGGTGTCTGCCGCCCACCAGTTTCTGCGTGTGGCTCTCACTGGCCCTGGGAATCGTGTTTTTAGTACAAGTTGGTGTTCTTTTTGTCTCGTGTAGAGAAGAATTTCATTCGTCCATGGTTTAATAGCCCCCCCCCGCGTGTTTTTTCTAACTTGTGTTTGTCACCTTGAGCTACATAGTCGTGCCTGTTTTTCTGTTCTCATTGTTGTCTTGTTAAATGCCAGTCCATCTCTGATGTTCGCAGTCAGTAGTTTGTTCTGTCTGTCCGTCTCTCCTCGAGACGCTTGAGTTACGTTTTCAGTAGTACAGGCTATTTTGCCGATATGAAGGGAACTTTTCAGAAAGAGACCTGCTCTAGGTCATTTAATTTTGAATACAGCTTTCAATCGTTCAAGTTTTGGATGGTTTATATCTAATGTGTGTTTCATTTTTTTGGAAAGCTCTATTTTGTATTTAGGAAATGATAAACTATTTTGCTATTTGTACTGAGTGAGTACATTGGCATAAATATAATATATATATATATATATATATATATATAAATATATATATATACCTATTCACACACATATATTCATTTTGCCGCAGATTTTTGTGGCAAATGTGTGAGTCTGTTGTCTGTTCTCCCACAACATGGTGTCTAGTAACTGGGGGGAGGGGGGCAGTGTTACGTCTATACCAAGTATTTAAGCACTTTGCGGTCTGCATAACCTGCCCATCTCCGGCCATTCCATCCGGCTGTGCTCGTACTGACTGGCTGTGAGGAAAGCAGCTTCTCTGCCGGCGACACGGCTCGCTCGGCAGCGCGGCCTCACGGAGGAAGCCCTCGGGCAGCCGCTCGGGGGCCGCAGTCCCATGCAACACGCGCCGTTCGGCTTGGCTCCTGGGTGATGTCTCGTGCGTGATGGCTCGCTCGTAATTTATAGCAACACTACAGATGCACCATTGGAACCTAATTTCCCTCTTTCCTACTGGCAGCAGCCCCACGCTGAGCTGAGCGCGCGCCTCCTGCGGTTTTCGTATTTGCCGAGAGGGTGTGGAGGACGAGCAACAGCGCGCGCCTCTCACGAGCGGGGAGATGGAGGAGGCATGGGCCAGGCCGGGGCTTTGGCTTCCGCTTCCGCTTTGGGGCAGCCTGCACCCGTGCAGGGCACGTGGCCGGCTCCTGGGAGAGGCACTCGGCCCTGGCCCAAGTCGCCTGGACGGGGCCGAGGAGGGGCGGGTGGGCCCGTGCGCTGCCGTGTCTTGTAGCAGGACTGTCCTTGACGGACTCTGCCGAGCCACCAGGGACCAATCCTCCGCCGAACCGGGTTTTCCACCTGGTTCCGCCCGGCCACCCTCTCGAACACAGGCAGTCGCCGTCCCTTCGCAAGAGGGGCTCTGCGGCTTTGTGGGAAGCGGTGGCGCTCGTGCCTCTGATTGTTTCTCCCCTTTTCTTTTTTGGTCCATGTTAGGTCAATATTTAAATGTACAACATTTTGAGTATGTGATTTGGTTACAAAAGGTATTTTGTCTTTGAAACCAAGGGCCTGCTCAGCGGCTGGGGCGGTCTGGCACTGCGTCCTTCTCGCAGCTTCCCACGAGGTGGGGGGCTGTGGGGCAGAGGCTGCAAAGGTAGCCTTGTTGTGGGGGAGCTTTGCCCTGGCCGGAGCACCGTGCCTCTTCCCTGCCCTCGCTCCCACCACGGCGGTCCAGGACATCTTGTCTGGCTGCTCAGGAAGGGTCATTTCAAGAGAGGTTTTCTTCCAGGCATCTCAGATGGGTGACCGCCTCCCCAGGGACCTGGGCCCCACCATCACGTCCGCTGGACAGAGCTGTGCTGGGAAATGATCTTTGTGGAACTGTAAAAGCTCCGATGGGGCAAGAGGAAATGGCACCTGAGCAGCTCCTCCTTCCCTCTCGCTGTCGTGAGCACAGCTGAGGGGCTCTTCGGCCCCTCCTGAGCGAGCTCGCCAGAAGCCCGAGGCACCCTGCGCCAGAGCAGCGCCCAGCAGGCCTGCCGCGTCTGCCCTGCCCTGCCCTGCCCTGCCCTGCCCGCCGGCCGGCTGGCCAGCCTGCCTTGCTCCTTCCTCGGCTCTGCGGCGGGTGCCGCCACCACCACCAAGGGGGCCTTCAGGCTGCGCAGAAGCACTGCTCGCATCCTCGAGCCTGTCATGGGGAGCGTGGTGGCCAGCTGGGCCCGGGTTCCTCGGCCAGGCCCATGTGCGAGGGGGGGGCTTGGCGCAGGGCCCCCCTTGAATAAAGAAGCCCCTTGGGGAAGCTGTGCGTGAATGCCGGCAGCACAGCAGGGCCCGGATCCTCTGCCTGGTCCAGGCCCTGCTGGAATTCTCTCACCCTCTCCCTGCCCCGGCCTGCGTGATCCGCTCTCGGGAGGTTTTCCCCAGAGCTCCATTTTGGCTCAGGAGTGAGTCTGAGATCGGAGCGCTCCGCCTTCTCCGGCCCTCCTGGCAGGGCTTTCGGAGCATCCCAGCCGCGTTGGCCCCTAGCAGCCGCCAGACCGACCAGCCGCCGACCAGCCCCCCCGCTGCCCTGCAATGTGAATGTAGACTCCGACGGCCCCTTGTGCGTCATGTGCCCCGGCTTGTGCAGGTGGGTTTCTCAGAGCACTGATCCCCATTTGCAGTTTATTCTAAGGGGGAGGGGGGCTGGGGACCTCATTTGCATTTGTTTTTAGCTATTCTGTGATAACTCGTTGAATATTAAAAAGAGATATTTTGCTTCTATTGGGACATTTGTATACTGGCAACTATATTTCTGTACACAGCTGCAGTCAAGAATAAAACTTGGAAAGTTTTCATTTTGCGGTGTCTAACTGTGCGTGCCCTGTTCTTCCCAACATCGCAGGGAGAAGGTGCCCTGCACACCTCAGGAGGCCGCGCCGAGTCTTGAGGGACCCTCTTGAACGCAAGGCAAGAGCCAGCCGGGGCGTTGGGGGGGGGGGCGGGAATCTGGACTGATGCAGCGGCACTGAAGAGGAGTGCAAAAGGCCAGCCCCACACGCCCGCCCTCTGTGCCACATCCAAGCCCCACCGTGGTCGCTGGCGTAGTTCCTTACAACAGTTCAGTGCTCCTTCCTGTTATGGTTGTGGCCCCGGCAGGATGGGGGTCGACCAGAGCAGCGCGTTGCGTTCATTTTGGCCCTGCTTCTGGTGGCGCGTGCCCACACACATTCTCCGTCCAAAGCAGGGGGTCCAGCCGCTTGGGGCTTAGGTGAGCGACCCTCAAAAGGCACTTGGTGGACGAGCCTGTGGGCATTCCAGCAGGCGCCTCTGGCAGCTCAGGAGCTCCGCCGGTGGATCACACGCTGCTGGACAGTGCCAGCGGCCTGTGCCATGTGGTTGCACCGGGGTCCTGCCTGCCTGGGACGAGTCTGCTGTACCCTTTCCTGTGGGTGGCAAACTAGTTCTGTCCCAAATCTCTCTTCCTTTGACTGACGCGAACGAGGAAGCGCCTGCACCGCACGTAACGACGCCCTGCGTCTGGCTCTCCCAGCATCTCGCTTGTACCATTTGGCTAGTCAAGTCTGGCAGAGGTGTGGGATCGGGCCAGCCCCCTCGCCCGCCACGCAGACACAGGTGGGCCTCCCCGCCCTGTGAGCCATGCGGGCACATGGGATCCCCCCCTTTGGAAGTGCCGGCGCACGGTGTCGATCCTAATGGTGCTTGCGAAATGAAGCCAGCAGCCCCGGGCGGTAAAAGGCCTTTTTATTCAGACTGAAGCCTGCCAGGTGCATGGAGAGGCCTGTAAAAAGGGGGAGGCGTTCCTGGTGGTGGTCCAAGAACCCGAGTAGAAGGGTTAGCCCTTCCTTTTTCAGAAATCCAGCGAGGGTCTTACTGTTCCCTTCAGAAGGTTCAAACGGCGGGGATCAGTCATGAAAGGAACGGCATGGCGATACCGGGCCCATCCTGCGGAGCGGCCTCTCAGCACAAGAGCCCTGCGGGGGGCTTCAGCTCCTGCAGGACGGGGCCGCCCAAGGGGCCGGGCTTCCCGTCCCCCCAGCCAGCGTGGCCAAAGGCAGCCCAGTCGGTCCACGGCGGGGATGCCAGGCCGGGGAGGTTCCCTGGGAGGTCACGGAGCGCGAGCAAGGTGCTCTTCTGGCTGTGGGCGAATTGCCCATGCACGGCAGGCCCTACCACGGCCTCTCGCACCAGCACGTGCCATGCAGACGCCTTCGATCGTGCGTCTATTTCACCTTCAACAAATGTGGGGAAATCAACTATGCCGGCAGCTGGAACACGGGCTGCCTTCAGAAAGATGTTTGTCTCCCAGTGCTAGAGCAGGGGACTTCCACCACGGGGACGGGTGTCTCCCAGAGGACACCTGGGTGTTTCAGTTGCCACTGTTGTCGTGTTAATGCCCTACTCTTGTGGAAGCAGCGCTGCGGTACGGCCTCCAGAGAGACAACGGCTTCCTGCACTCGGAACGAGGGAGGGCCCTGGGGTGCTCAAGGGGGCAGCCGGAGAGAGGCTGCAGTGGCAAATACGAGGCCCTACGAGACTCGGAGCAGGAAAGACGCCACGTGCAGGAGGCGAGCTGGCCTTCCAGACAATGCGGTTCTTGCCGCCCACTGTGCTGGCTCGGCTGATGGGAGCTGCCCCCCAGAAAGAGGGTCACACGTGGGCTGTCCCTGCACTACTGGGAGGGAGGGAGAGCCACTGTGCCTCTTGACTCGTCCAAGAAGGGGGGAAATGAGGATTCTGTGCCACCAACTTCTCTCTCAGAAGATGAGGACAGCAGGGGGAGCTATTTTTACTGGGCTTTGACCTGATTATCAGGTGGGAGAGGCTTGCCCAGATGCTGACCAGTCGCCAGCCCGTATTTCTGATCTTCCTGCTGCTTCTTGACCTCTTCCTTCAGCACGAAGCCCCCAGCAAAGCTCAGCTCAAAGTGACTGGCCGGGACAAAGCTGAGTGGCTTCTCCTCCCAGATGGTTGCCAGCCTCTTCTTCCATCCCTCCAGGATTTGGGAGCGGACGTCCGCTGGCGTGTGGGCCACACTGAACGCAATCTGGGGCTCTAAGACTTGGAAGCCACAGAAATGGAGAGTGCCGCTCTGGGAGGGCGAGAACAGATGCAAAACATAGTCAGTGCCTGTCCGTCTTGCATGGGAGGAATACAAAACTCAGAGTTGCTGAGCAGCCCCAGGATGCATTTCTGTAGCCACGACCACTTCCAGACTGGTCCCTTCAGTATCGGCACAGAAATGTTACCCTGGTTTTTAGAACGGGACTCTTGCCTACAGAGCTGCAAAAGACCCACTCCAGCCTTTGAAGAAACACCAGGTCGTTTCGCCACCTGATTATCTGGATGCAAAATCTAAAGTCCCCTACTGGGTGTATTCAGAAACGATGTGGGGGGAGCAAGGCTGCAGGGTACGCCAGGGACATAAACCTGAGCTGCTACCAAGGTGTGGGTCCCGGCTGCCGGTGCCTCACCTGTATTGGCCACAGAATGATGTTGATGTCTCCCTGGATGCCTTCAGGGGTGTACATGGAGCCCGTTCCACCAGTGGTGAAGGAGAGCACGGCCTTCTTTTTCTAGGGGGAGCCAAATCTCTGTCATGCCCCGTGCCATGGCAGAGGAGTGGGAAGGCACAGAGAGCGGACTGGCAGGATGATCAGGCTGCAGGGGCCCAACCGCCAGCCTCCCGGGAGCTGCTCTTCAGGCTGCTTTTCCTGCTCTTTGGACAAAGGGCAGCTGCTGGCCCGTGGTGCTGAGGTCAGGGGTCTGCACAGAACCCCCTCTGTGGCCACACCCTCACCTGGACTGCAGCTCCAGCCATGCCCCAGCCCGTGTGGAGAAAGCAGCCGGAGCTGGCCAGCAGCCCTCAGTGCAGCGGGGTGGGATGGGGGCGGATGGAGGAGACCCTGCTACTCGGCAGGCACCATCCCTGAAGCGGTGAGCTGCCGTCTCCCCCCGCCGCTGCCCCAGCAGACTTGCCTGGAACGGTCCCTGGTCATGCATGGCACTGTAAGAATAGGCAAAGCCGCCTGTGAGGATCCGGTCGAACCAGCCTTTCAGGATGGCGGGCAGGCCACACCACTGGATGGGGAACTGGAGCAAGAGAGGGACATGTGGGTGCCTCTCGGCAGGGGGGTGCCCTGAGCAAGCCGCACGCCCTGGCCGGGCCCCTGCCGCCTGCCCGCCCTCTCCCCACGAGCGCCCGGGCCCAGCGGCAGCCGGAGGAGGCAGCTCAGGTGAAATGCACCTTTCCGCTACTGCAAAACGTGGGTCAGTCTTGGAAAACAACACAGTCCACAATGCAGCGGGGCCTCTGAGGGCAGCCGGGCCTGAGCAGGCAGCCGGGAAGTCCAGGCGCGCTGGCAGCTCTCCTCGGAGGACCCCCGCCCAGAAGGCACCTGGAAGATGACAAGATCCGCAGCCTTCAGCTTGTCCTGCTCCTCCACGATGTCGCTGCTCAGGCGGCCTTCCTTCCAGGCCAGCCCCGCCTCGGCGGAGTAGTTGAAGTTCTGCGAGTCCTTCGGGCTGCCTGAGCGAGGAAGAGGAGGAGGAGGAGGCAGGTGAGTGGCGGGGGGCGGGGCGGGGCGGGGAACGATTCATCCCGGGCAGCGGGGGCGGGGGGGCATACCGGTGATATCCTGCCGGGAAAGCACCGGGTTGAATTTCATGGCGTAGAGGTCGGAGACGGCGACCACCCAGCCGGCCTTCTGCAGCGCCTCCGCGGCCGCCGCCTTCATGGCGTGGTTGAAGGAGGCCCGCTCGGGGTGAGCCAGCACGATCAGCGCGTTCCTTCCTGCGGGGGCGAGCGAGGCGAGGCGAGGCGAGGCGAGGCGGGCTGCACCGGCGCCCCCCCCCCCCAGAGCCCGCAAGCAGGGCGCGCCCCGCGCCGAGCCCAACGCGCCCGGGACGAGCGCAGCGGCTGCGGGGGGCGCCCCGCACCGGCCGGGGGCGCGTCCTCCCTCCCTCTTTCCCTCCCTCCCGCCCGCCGCCCGCGCCCCCAGCCCGCGCGCCCCCTTCGCCCCGGAGCCTTACCAGCCATGGAGACGCTTGTCGGGAAGCGATGCGCGCCGGCGGCCGCCGCGCCTCTTATAGGGCTCGGCGGGGGCGGGCTCCCTGGGCGGCGGGGCGCGGAGGGCCGGCCCGCTCCGTGCCGGGGTTCCGCCCGCAGCTCCGCGGGAGGCCGCTTGGGTTGGCCGGCCCCCTGGGGGCCTCCGCATGGCCCCGCCTCGCCCGCGCCCCGGGCCCGAGCCGGACGGCGCCCCCCCCGTGCGCCCTCGCCGCCGCGCACCGGCCAGAGCCGGCGGGGCGCCCTCTGCGTGCCCCTTTCCGGAGCAGGATCGCACGCGGCGGCTGGCGCAGGTGGGCACAGCGGGCAGCGCCTTGGCCGGTCGCGCAGCAGTGCTGGCTGTGGATCCGCGCGGGGGTGGCGTAGCCGGTGGCGGCCCGGCCTCAGGCGCGCCCAAGGCAGGCCGCGTGGGGCACCGAGGTCGATCGTGCGGCGAGTTCGGGTCCAGCCGCGTCTCCCCGAGGCTCGCTCATTCTGCTCCCGGGAGGCTTGAGCTGTGGGCCTGCTGAGCGCAAGGCAGGGAGGGCTCCTGCCGCCGGGCCCGGGGGGGCCTTGCTGCCTCGCTTGGCCCACCAGCTCCCTCGCCTGAAGATGCAGGCACCTTAACAGCCCCTCTTGCTTTCAGTGCCCCCTTCCTTGGAACGGAAGGCGAGCAGGCCGGCCCCAGAGACGCAGCTTGACCAAAGCCTGGCTGGTCTTTCCTCTGTCCCACCTCCGTTTTTTCACAGCACTCGAATGAGGGGGCTGCAGTGCTTGTGCTTTGCAGAAAAAAAGCTCTTGCGCAACGTTGGAGGGGAGGGCAATCGGGAAAATCCTGCTCCTTTTGCCCCAGGAATGGGGAAAAGCCAAGAGACACAGCCAGAACCCTTTGGCTAGATCTCCGAAAGGGACGGCTGCTCCACTGGGAGGCACCGGCAGCAACAGGTGGTATCCAGGCACGCGAGGGTCCCCAGAGCCCCACTGTTAACGCCTTTCTTACTCCGGTCGTAAACAAGGAGGAGAGCTTGCCAATTAAGCTCCAGCGTCCTGTGTGATCCCAGCAGGGGTCCCTGTGGCTTTGCTGGCCGGCCAGCCATCTTACAGGAGCAGCCAGGAAGCCCACACATTAGTCCCCTGCAGCCGATACGACATCGCATGACAACGAATAGTGCGCCAGAAGGCCTGCATGGCGTCCCCAGCCTTTGCTGGCTATTGCAGGAGGTGTGTGTCGTCTTGTGTTTGCTTTACAGGCTGGACTCGGAAGGCGTGATGGCGACTCCGTGGCGACCAGAGCCCTGGTGAGGAGGGCAGCCGGTAGTCCAGACGCTCTACCCTGCGCCACACGCAGCAAGCCGGGCGCCCCCTCTGCAGAAGCATCCGCAGAATCCTCTTGGGAGCCGAGGAGCGGAGCGTGTCCGGGAGAGGCGGTGCTTTCCGCTGCCGGCACATGGAAGCCAGCAGCCGGGGCAGCTCCGAGCCCCTCGGCCACATTTGGGGGAGCGCCAGCATTCGCATGGCCAGTTCAAAAGAAGAACGCCCAGGAACGGACTTTGTCCCTTTGATGTGTATTTCCTTATCTAGAGGTGATAAAAAAATTTGTAGCCCGTGCTCAAAATAGCTGCCACACACCTATTTTAACTGTACATGCCCAAATGTGATTCATGCTGGAAGGAGGGAGTGACCCTCCTGGCAGAAACAGGATGGAAACAGCTTCCATCCTGCGAGGGGCTTGCTAAGTGCTGGGGGGGCGCTTTGCACTGCAAATACCAGCCAAGCAAGCTCCACCAGTCAGTTGCCTCTGGCAATCGCATAACTTCACTGTGCTGTTGTGTTTCCCTTCCAACTGTGCTCTGACATGCAACCGGCTCTTTGTCAGAGGAGCAGGTAAAGTTACAGAGCAGGGTGGAGCCAGAGTTTGCCCTCTTTGCTGCAGCCTGGGAGAGAAAGCAGGAGAACCACAAAGCCTCAGCCCCAGCTGGGCCTCCGGGGTGGCGGAGTGAGGAACAGGTGCAGGACCAGTAAGGCGGGCCTTCCCTGGGGCGGCTCGTGCCTGCCACCTTGAGCAAGGAAGAAATACCGCCGGCTCCTGTTGCAACGGTGGGAGCGAGATCCGGAGCGGCACAGAGGCATTTTCCCAGTGCTGGCGTTTAGAGCAAAACAAAGAGACTGTGCCAAAATTAATTGGCGACGGGGTGCATTTGGGGGGCTGAGCACAGATCTGGCGGCAGATTCGCCTGCAGTTGTTTGAATGCCCACAGCTTGCAACCAGCAACTCGACATGGTGAGGTAGCTGCCCACCCCCACAAAAGCGGCACAAAAAGAGGGAGGGGCCGAGGCATCTGCTCTTGCCCTCCACAATCAGGGACTGCCAGGAAACCGGGCCCGGCCACCCTGCTGAGCTGGGGGCCCCAAGAGCCACGTTTCCCCCACCCTACAGAGGCCCGAGACGGAGTGGAGAGAGCCCCCTTTATTAGGAACACCGCTGCTGCTCTGCCGATTGTCTAGGAGGCGCTCCGAGCCTCCTGCCTCCTCCGGAGAGGCCAGCCACGTCCCGCCTGCCTGCGGCTTCTGTGGCGGCAAGGCCAGCCTTCCCGGGGGCCGCTGGAAAGCGAGGCCGGCCTTTCGCCACCCGGGGGCTGCGTGGCAGGGCTGCTGCCCCTCCCCACTTCACCTCTTCTTCACAAACTTTTTGGTGGCCGTGTTGGGATTCAGGCGCCTCCTGCCTGCGCCCAGCGCCGCGTCCCGGATCCGGAGGTTGGCGGCTCGGCTGTAGATGTCGTTCTCCACGAAGGGAGACAGCCCCGCGACGTAATCCGGGTGGAAGACATCGGTCTTCTGCCGGGCCTTGCGCGAGAGCCGCTGCTGGGGGAAGCGCTGGTCCTCGGTCAGGTGGGGGTTGTTCGCGTGCTTGCCCCCCTGAGGCGCAGGAAGCGGGTGCTGCCGAGAGGCGTGAGGAAGAGCGTCAGGAGAGCCGGGCAGGGGAAGCCGGGCCCCATCTTCCCAGCGTGCTGTCGGCAGAGCAGCCGGCCAGCTGCCCGCCACACACGGGATGTGAATGCGACGGCGCGCCCACCCTCGTGCCCCAGACCCCCTGCCCCGACGCTGCAGGTGGCCCGTGGCCCCCACAGGCACCCGGCCACCGCCCCCGAAGAGGCTCCCAAACAAATGGCCGTTGTCACACTGTGTGCCACTGATTCCCACAGTCCTGCTCTGCTCTGCGTTGGCGAAGAAGTCCTTCCCCTGAGCGGTCCTGAATCTCCCACCCCTCAGCCTCATGGGGTGGCCCCACGGTCTCAGGATGACGGAAGATGGAGAAAAACAATTGCCAGGCTCTCCACACCGGGGTTCTGTACTCTCCTATCTTGCCTCTTCTTTGAATTGGACAGGCCCAGCTATTCCACCCTCTCCTCATCTGGGAGTTTCTCCAGCCCTTGTCTTAGCTGCCTCTTCCCCACTCGACAACATCCTTTTTCGGACACGGGTGGGAGCTGCGCCAGGATCCTGAGTGCGGTCACACCACAGGTGGGCGCAGGGCAGGATGGGGGCAGCTTGACTTGCTGTGTCCTTTCCTGGAACCGCTAGCGCGGAGGTTGCCTTTTCCATAGCAGGCATGCCCTGGGCCGATGGTTTTTGCAAGCTGGTCGTCAAAACCCACTGCCCCTTTCTTGGCTGGAGATCCCAGAGCGTGGCCGCCACTCACCCGGAGTCCTCGTGGGTTCAAGACCTTTGGGTTCCGGGAGAAGTGCAGCTGGAGGCTCCCGTCGTCCTGCACCGTCACCGCCATCTTCTTCAGTGTCTTGTTCCCGCAGTGGGGGCAGAAGAGGCGGTTCATGTCGGAGGTCGTCCTGGAGCAAAGCAGAGAGGCAGGGGGAGTCCCGGCAGCCTGAGCGGCTCCGGCAGTCCCCGCGCAGACCGGGCCTGCTGCCGTCCCCGCGCAGGGGGGTCTCGCCACCTGCCCAAGGCCCACCTGAAGCACCCGTGGCAGCGCAGGAGATAGCTGCGGGCCTGCCGGATCCGCAGCCCGTCCACGGCCAGGACACGCAGCCCCATCTGCAGCAGAACGTTCTGTGAAGCGGGAGGGCGAGAGCGGTCAGGGGCGGGCCCCGGCACCCGAGGGCGGGCTGGCGGGCGGGCGGGCAGGCCTTCGGCACCCCCTGGCGAGGACGAGCTGCTCCGCACGGCCACCCCTCCTGCGACTGGCCGGCCCTTCCTCCAGCCCTGGGGGTGGGGGCCCACACCTCTGAGGCAAGGGCGGACACCCCCCTCCCCGTCACCAAGAGCCCTCTCTGGCCCAGCCCCCTGCACCTGCTTCAGAGAGACCCTGCAGCCGGGCCTCAAAGCCGCCGGGTTCCCCTCGCCCGCAGTGGCCCTGCTTCTCTGGGGCCCGCCTGCTCCCGGCACCCCACTTGCCTGCATGGCGAAGTCGGTGGTGACGCAGCCGACCTGCACGCCAGCCGGCTCGTCCCCCTGCCCCAGCTCCTGCTGGACCTGCTTCAGGTTGCTGGGCGTGATCCACCCCTCCTTCTCCTCCTCCTCCTCCTCCTCTGTGCTGGCTGCCTCCTCGTCGCTCTCCCGGCTGCCGGGCTGCTCCAGCTCGGCCTGGACAGCATCCGCCTGCTGCAGAAGACAAGGCGCTTGGGACGGGCCCACAGACCTGCCTGGGCTTGTGAGAAGGGCGGCGCCATGCTCCGTGGAGCAGCTGCCCGTGTCCGGCGGGGCCCTCACCAGCAGGCCCCGCAGATCCTCCTCGATGCTGGGCAGGGGGGTCCTCCAGAAGAGGAAGGAGCTGAACTCGGAGGCTTCTGGCCCTGCGGCACCTCCGCTTCCTCTGCTGTCCACAGCTGAGGGGCACTGCTCCCCTCCAGAGCGCTGGGCCTGCGGCAAAAGGCACAACACACACGCAGGAGCGCTTCAGCCGCCGGGGCTCTGGCCCAGCCAGCTCTGCTCCGGCGGCACCACCCGGGGCAGCAGCTCTGCAGGCGGCGGGAGGAGAAGGTGCTTTTCCAGCCTGCCCTGGAGCTCTGCTGGGAAAGGGGCGGGGCCTTCGGCATGCCCAGTGGGGCCCTCCCCCCGAGCCAGGGCAGAGTGGGCCACCCCCGCTTCTTCCAGAAGAGGCCACCTGGCCACTGGCCTTGGCAGGCACAAGTGGGAGGTGCTGCGGGCCACCGGCTGTGCCACAGCATCTCCAGGGCCATCTCCGGCTCTCGGCGGCCTTGGAAGAAGCACCTCACCCCCTCTGAGCCAGAGAAGCGGGGGCATGGGCAGGTCCCCAGGAGAAAGGATGCTTCCCCTGCGCGCGCTGCCTGTGTGTGTCTTCCTCCGTGCCACGAAACACGGGGCAGAGTTTGCGGCGGCCAAGGCTGGAAGTTACCTTGGAAGGGAGGTGGAAGCCAGCGATGCGCACCATCGCCTCAGGGTGCTGGGTGGTCGAGTTGAGTGTCACCTGCAGGGACCCAGGTAAGGAAGAGGGAATGAACGGAGGCAGGAGACTCACGGGGCAGCGACTGCAGGTCCTTGCAGCCGATGCCTCCTTAACCCCCCACCCCCATGCCTGCCAGAGTCCCTAGTCCAGCCAGCTGGTGAGCCTGAAGTGCCCAGCCGGGGAAGGCCAGGGCAGAAGCCGGGCGAGACGCAGCTTCTCTGCTTGAGCAGAGAAGGTACCCCTAGCTTCCGCGGGACATCAACGCCTGGCCAAAACTCGCCACTTTGTAAGAAAATGTGACTTATCGGGCAGAGTACAACTTCAGTAAAGAAATCGAAGCCGGGCACTCTGGGACCGATGGCCAAGCCTCGCCTCACATACGCGGGCCGACCTTTTGCTCGGGATCCTTCCTCAGGTGTGCCACCCCAACATGCTCCGCTTCCAGCTGGTACGTCAAGGCCAGAACTTGGATATCTGTGGCGGAAAGACTAGGGTAGTCGCCTGTCTTCTTGGAAAATTCTGTCACTACAAAATAAAAGATGGCTTTAGACATGTGTCCAGATTCCGAGACGCTGCACTTTCAGGAGCAGAAAATCACCCTTTCCCTGCAGCAAGACTATCCTGAAACAGAGGAGAGGCTCACCCAGGCGCACGTATTCGGGGAAAGGCTGCTTGAAGTGGAGCTGATAGGGGAGTACGGCCAGCCTCTGCCTGGTCTCCTTGTCCCGGATCTCAGTCACCACCTCTCGGATCGTATAGATGTTCCGGCCGATCTCCTGCCAGTGAAGGATACATGTGGGCGCCTGGGAGGATGGCGGGGGCACGCCAGGGGAGAGCCGCAGGCTCCCCCCTTTCCCAGCATCCCCCTCCCCGCTGGGGACTCTGGGAAGGGGCGCGTGGGCATCCCAGGGAGCAGCCGACAGCCCCAGGGGGTCCCCAGGAGGGAGGGGCCGCTCTCGAGATGGCTCGAACGGCAGTTCCCAGCACCCACCAGCCAGCACGGCCAACGGCCCCGGATGATGGGAACTGCCGTCCAGTACATCTGGAAGGCACCAGCTAGGGGCAAGTTGGAGAGGGGTGGTGCGCCGTGCCTCCCGATGCTGCCAGACTAGCGCTCCCGTCACCCCCGCAGGCCAGGGCTGCTGGGAGCTGGAATCTCGGAGGCCGCGGCTGCGCGGGAACAGAGTGCGCCTCCCCGCCGAGGCGGAGGTACCTGGAGCGGGGCTCCTCGCAGGAAAGCGCCGGCATCGGCCACGACGTGCTCCACGGGAGCCATCTTCCCAGCCTCACTTTCCTCTCGCGCGGGGCACGCCGGGAGTTGTAGTCCCGGGCGCGCCGCCGACTCTCCGCGAAGAAAGGCCTGCTGGGAGTTGCGGCCGCTGCCTGGCCTCAAGACCTAAACGGGAGAGTGCCCCTGCCGTGGTTCGAAGGGCAGCTTCCGGGCATTCGGGGCCACGCCGGGAGGTCTCGCCCCAGTTCAGCCGCCCCGCACTGCGGGAGCAGGAAAGGCCGCGAGCCTTGGCCGCCCGTTCGCGGCCGAAACGAGCGCGGCACGGCGCCTCTTGCGGCCCCCTTGCAGCGCAGTGCAGTGCGGATCTCTAGGCGGCCGCTCACAGGAGGCGGGCGGGCGGGCGGGGGGGATCCAGGGCCGCGTTGCGTGGGCGCTTCTCCAAGGGGCGCTGCCGCTGCGGCTGCTGAGGAGGAGGAGGAGGAGAGAGTCGCCCCCAGAGGAAGGCTGCGGCCCGCAAGACTAAGCCCGGCAGGGGGCGCTCGCGCTCCGCGGCCCCGCTGCAGCGGCTCCGCCTCTATGGTTCCCCCTTCCAGTGCCGAGATGCGTGTCATGTGATGTGGCACTTGTCACATGACCAGTGACTGCAGGAGGCGGAAGTGAGGAGAAGCCGAAGTGTCGCCGGTAAGCCCGGCGATGGGGGCGCGCGGGGGGGCGGGCGGCGCTGCCGACCGGTGGCCC